TACCAATCTACTGTTGCTGAGTGGGCACAGCTCATCAATGCCCCAGAGGAGCATGAGGATGACTTGGATATCTATGCCAAGAAGAAGATGGACCACAACTCTATGTCCAATATGTACAAGGAAATTCCAAATGAAGCTCTTGAAACTTTCAAGTTTGGGTCTGTGCATTATCTTCTGTCAGGGCTGCCAACCATTAATTGGATCCTTAGGCACACTCTCTTGCCCAAGTCAGGTGATCACAAGATGATCAGAGGCCATGCAATCAATTTGCTTCATGTATTTGATGTACCTCAGAAATTCAAGGTCATGAGCCTCATAGTAGAGACTATCAAGAGGACTGCAGCAGATCAGAAGAGGAGCTGTGGTTATGCCCCTCAGATTCAGGAGTTGATCAACTCAAAGATGGGCACAGGCATATACTTATTGGACAAGAACACCTGCCCATCCATCCAGACTTTGAGGACAATCAAGTTGTCACGAATGAGAATGAACCATCATCTGCACAAGCACAAGCAAAGAAGGAGAAGGCAAGGAAGGAGAAAGCTGCCAAGATGCCAACTCAAGCGGAGGCATCTGAGTATTTCTTGAAGACCAAACAAGAGCAGCTTGGTTACTTGATTGCATCCACACTGAGGATTGAGCAAGGACTGGCCACCCTCACTCAAAATCAGCAGAGCTTAGAAAGAATCATGGAACAGAAGTTCTATGACCTAGATGTGAAGGTGACAGAAATTCAGTCTGCAGTGGAGCAACTTCAGGATGATATGCAGGAGAGGAAGGGCAAGACTACAACTGATGCATTTGCCAGAGTGCCACGAGCTCAGAGGTCGATTGCAGTGCCAGTTCCTGACACCAGAGCCACCACCTCAGCTCCAGCTACAACACCAGCCCAACCAGGTCCAGCATCTACTTCAGCTTCAACTCCAACCACGTCTACAGAAGGCTTCATCCTTGGAGTGCTCCGGACTCCACCACCACCAGAAGATCAAGCCTGAGAGTCGATCTAGCACTATGCATTTTCTAGGAACTTTTTGGTAACTTGTTGCCAAAGGGGGAGAAAAATGTATAGATCATAGGCATCGAGAGAGAGTGTGTTGCTTTTATTCTCTCTTGCTTTATTTGGTGGTTTTTCGAACTTTGTTTGCTTTTGAGTGCTTGAGATACTATGCCGTTATCTGTGAGACATTGATGATCATGTGTTTGATCATAAGCTACACTTATGCATGCTATTATCTTATCTATCTTATGTGATCATTCACTTTTCTTGGTGATGAGTGCATGTATTTCATTCTTATCATTTTAAGCGCTCCACCAAGATGTATGTGACATGGAAGAGTAACCCATGACTCTAACTCTTGGTGCATTTGCAGTCCAAAGCAAATTTTAAATATGCACAAATTTAGGGGGAGCTCTTACTTATCACATACTTCTCAAAGCGACGATATATTCCATTCTTATTATTATTTGTCGAAGCTTTGATCTATATGTTGTCATCAATTACCAAAAAGGGGGAGATTGAAATTGCAACTATCCCTAGGTGGTTTTGGTAATTCATAACAACATATAGCTCATTGAGCTAATGCTATTCCAAGATGATTATTTCAGGAAAGCTCAATGATTGGCATGGCATGGATGGTGAAAGTGGAACCCTCAAAATGCTAAGGACAAAGGATTGAGTCAAGCTCAAAAGCTCAAGACTCTTCATTTTATATTTTAGTGATCCAAGATCACATTGAGTCTTTAGGAAAAGCCAATACTATCAACGAGGGATGAGGTGTTGCTTAATGAGCCTCTTGCTTCATGTGCTTAGTGATATGCTCCAAAACCCTCAGCTACTTTCCCATATCCACATTTGACCTAAACCCTAAGCCAAACTCGGCCCTACCGATTCTTTCAACCCGGCGCCACCAAGTTTCACTTGTCATAACCATTGCCAAACCCTAGCAAATCGGTTCTACCAATAGGGATCTCGGTCTCACCGAGATGGGATTGCAAACTCTCTGTTTTCTTTTCGTAACTTTTCGGTCTCACCGAAAGAGCGGATCGGTCCCACCGAGATTGCAATGTAAACTCTCTATTTCCTTTTTGTAACTTTTCGGTCTCACCGAAAGAGCAAATCGGTCCCAGCGAGTTTGCCTGACCAACTCTCTGGTTAGCTAATTACCAAAATCAGTCTCACCGAGTTTGTGTAATCGGTCTCACCGAGATTACGTTATGCCCTAACCCTAACAAAATCGGTCCTACCGAGTTGCATGTCAGTCCCACCAAAAATCTCTAACTGTCACTAGGTTTACTATTTTGGTCTGACCGAGTTTGTTGATTCGGTCCCACCGAGATTGGTAAATTGTGTGTAACGGTTATATTTTGTGTGGAGGCTATATATACCCCTCCACCTCCTCTTCACTCGTGGAGAGAGCCATCAGAACACATCTACACTTCCAACTCTTATGTTCTGAGAGAGAACCACCTACTCATGTGTTGAGGCCAAGATATTCCATTCCTACCATATGAATCTTGATCTCTAGCCTTCCCCAAGTTGATTTCCACTCAAATCTTTTTTCCACCAAATTCAAATCCTGTGAGAGAGAGTTGAGTGTTGGGGAGACTATCATTTGAAGCACAAGAGCAAGGAGTTCATCATCAATACATCATTTGTTACTTCTTGGAGAGTGGTGTCTCCTAGATTGGCTAGGTGTCACTTGGGAGCCTCCGACAAGATTGTGGAGTTGAACCAAGGAGTTTGTAAGGGCAAGGAGATCGCCTACTTCGTGAAGATCTACCGCTAGTGAGGCAAGTCCTTCGTGGGCGATGGCCATGGTGGGATAGACAAGGTTGCTTCTTCGTGGACCCTTCGTGGATGGAGCCCTCCGTGGATTCGCGCAACCGTTACCCTTCGTGGGTTGAAGTCTTCATCAACGTGGATGTAGGATAGCACCACCTATCTGAACCACGGGAAAAACATCCGTGTCTCCAATTGCGTTTGAATTCTCCAAACCCTTCCCTTTACATTCTTGCAAGCTGCATGATTTACTTTCCGCTGCCAATATACTCTTTGCATGCTTGCTTGAATTGTGTGATGATTGCTTGACTTGTCCTAAAATAGTTAAAATCTGCCAAGAACTAAATTTGGGAAAAGGTTAAGTTTTTATTTGGTCAAGTAGTCTAATCACCCCCCTCTAGACATACTTTCGATCCTACAGCGACAGCGACGACGACGACGACGATGCGCCGCCACCAGTCCGCCATGGCGACGCCGGGCAGGGGTCCAGCAGGGGCGCCCGCGTCAAGGAGGAGAAGGCCGACGACGACGATGGCAGCGACGGCGGCGACTTCAACCAGTTTTTCCTTTAGATTAGTTTATGTATATGTGCTATGTAATGAAAATCCGCGAACTTCGCCGAAATGTGCCGAAATTTATCGTGTTTGGCCGAAATTTATCGTGTTTGGCCGAATTTTATCGTGTTTAAGCCGAACTTCTTTTATTTTAAAACGTGCCTGGAGGCGGCCCTGGGGCCGGCGGCTGGGGACCAACTCGACCCCAGGCCCAATTTTTGCGCCGGCTCACCCCCAGGCGGCGATTTTAGGCGCCCCCTGAGGGTCCAACGGCTGGGGATGCCCTAACCTGCAGTCTGTTCAAAAAATAAAGGGATAAGTATATTTTTCATCCTCGAACTCTTCCGGGAGTTTAGAAATCGCCCCTTAACTCCAAACCGGATAGTTTTCGTCTCTCAACTATCAAACCGGGATAGTTTCCATCCCTCGTGCCGTTTCGGGCGGTTTTAGTACGTGGCAAACAGTAATTTGATGAACAGTAAAATAAAAAATTAGCAAAAAAATTAAAAAAATCTGAAATTTTACAGCATCGAAGATACTCTGATGCGCAAGACCCGTGCAAAATTCGTGGTGTTTCGACATTCGAGCAGCTCATGGCAAACAAAAAACTGTAAATATATACGTCGGTAAACAGTAAATTCAAAAAAAATAGCAAACAAAATCAAAACATTATGAATTTTTTTGGCATCAAAGAGGCTTGGGTGCGCAATGTGCGTGCAATTTTTTGTGGTGTTTGGGCAATGTACGAACTCGTGGCAAAAAACAAAATTTGGCTCAATTTATTTTTTTTAAAAAGTGCGCTATTTTGTTTCTTGGCTAGAGCTCCTCGTATGTCATTTGATCACGAAATTTTGCACGCATCTTACGTACCTGAGCATCTTTGATGCCAAAAAGTTTCTTTTTTATTTTTTTGCTTTTTTGAATTTACTGTTCACCAACATACATATTTACAACTTTTTGTTTGTCACGAGCTGCTCGAATGTCGAAACACCATGATATTTTGCAGGGTCTTGCGCACCAGAGTGTCTTCGATTCTGTAAATTTCAGAATTTATTTTTTTTGCTATTTTCTCGGTTTTACTGTTCACCGAGTACTAAAACCGCCCGAAGCGGCACGAGAGATGAAAACTATCCGGTTTTGATAGTTGAGGGACGAAAACTATCCGGTTTGGAGTTGAGGGACGATTTCTAAACTCACGAAAGAGTTCGAAGACGAAAAATATACTTATCCCGAAAATAAAAGCCAGGCGCAACGCAAGTTATTCCAGTACCGCGACGCCGCCGCCGCCACAGCCGCCTGGAATCGGCCCTCGACCCCGCCTGGAATCGCCGTCTCGGTGCCGCCGCCCGCAGCAGATCAAGGTTACTTCCTTCCCCAATTGTGCTCTCCTCGGTCATCCCGTGTGATGTTTGCTGCCTGCGTGCTTGATGACTCGAGGATTGAGGAAATTCATAATCACTGATGACTCGAAAATAGGCATGGAGGCAACAAAATGACGGCAGTATTTTGATCCAATCTCACATCTCAAAATTGTTCTTTGTCTTCTGCCAGTTTTCTATTGCCGTATCCATCTCACATCACGACAAATCGCCTTAGCCCTATCCAATCTCACATCTCAAATTGCTAAATGTAAATATGTAATGGTATTGGTTCTTATTTCTGCAGGAATGGACAAGCATCGCAGCAACACTCGCTTTGCACCCCTGAACGACGCTCCATTTGTTCTCCGTGGTAAGAATTTCCTATCTTATTCGTACTTCCTGAATCTGAACCAGTACTTTCGACATATCAAACAATCATGCCACATGTGAATTGTATAGGTGGTACTGGGTCGTGCACACATCCACCTTTTAAGCGCATTCATATTTTGCAGGTTGTGTAAAGGACTAAACAATGAGGTTCAGGCTCGAAAGAATGTTACTCATAGATAGATAGGTAGGTTTATTTGGTGTGTTAAGAGAGTGCTTCTATATCTCGTTTCTATCCACACATGGTTTCGTAATCCAGTGTGTTGTTTAATGAAGAACATCCATCTTTTTAGTAGTAAATATAAAGCATACAATTTCTATGAGTAAATGGTATTATACTAGTATCGGCATTGCCTTCCATCAATCTTGCTATTCTGCACTATAGGAATCTGCAGTTTATATCTTCTAATAAGGCTCTCTCTCCCAAACTGAGGCACTTACAGGGTCCTCATGTATACAACCTAGAACTGACTTTTTTTTAGTGTTCTTGTTTGACTGTAAATCCTAATCCTAGCATGACTCACTAGTAAAAATGATGGTTCTTGAACTAAAATAGGCCTCTTTATATAGTGCCAGATTATATATTAACCTAAAGGAATAAGTGATCCTTTCATCTGTAGCTTATTTCTCAGATATTTAACTGCAACTCTCTCCCTCACTGGACAAAACAGAGATTACACTGAACCTTGATGTATGTGCTAATTGGTTAGCTAGTCATGATTTTAAGCATCTGAATCACATGAGAATACTTCGATACGATTAAAGTTTTGATTAAACAAATACTTTACACCTGTTGCCTGATAATAGCTACACTTGTATATCGATTAACTAATAATGATGACTAGTTACATTTGTTGCCTTTGTCTTTCAGGTGCCTCAAACTCATCTTTCAACAACATGGATAACCTTAGACGCTCCTCAGGCATTGGGCAAACAAAGAGCCATGCATCTTCTCCCTTAGGAGCTCTGCGACAGAAGATGCCTCCATCTGGAAATCGATCCTTACACACAAGTCGCCCCCTGTCAGCTCCTGTCGCAAACCGCCCATTGTCTCCTCATCTTCCTCTGAAGAAGCCACAGTTGAGCTCTACGTTCTCCATCTCGCACCGTATATTTGGCGTTGCGCTGGGCGCTGCCATCATATCCATTCCTCTTGCTACCAAGTTCAGCCTCATGTTTGGTGTCTGAGTGAAACAGAGATGAGGGGTGACATTGCTGTGGGTGTTCCATCATTGGGCACAATGCAACTCCAGGTGCACCTGCCATAACATCTTACCAGGCCTGCGTATTTTCATTAATAATAAGGAAAACTATCATAATGATCAGTGTAAAAACAAAAAATAAAAACCTCATTTTGGGTGTTTGTTGTTATGAGGTCTGCAAATCTGAAACCAGATCCTCTGCTTTGGCTTGAAGGTTGTCCTTGCTCATTCGACAGCAACATTAGTCAACTTAATTTCTCATTTTGAAGTTTGTTCTGGCCTTGTGGTGGATTAGCCACTTTTCTTTTGTCCTCCTAATTTCTCTTAATTAGGTTGCAGATCCATATTTGAGTTGTAGAACAAATCAGATGAGATAATCGTGTGTAGTAATACATCTCTGTTAATCATGAATGAATAGGCGCATTGCATTGCAACAACCGCAAGCTAAGTTGATGCTAAATTCCTCTCTTCTCCACGCTCAATCATCCTCTACCTTTCTGTGTCATGCCTGGGAGCAATGTCAGCGTATCTGTAGGTCACTGGAGACTCGACCCCATGGCATCAGATTCAAAACTCACAAAGTCAGGATCTTCTCGAGCCAGTGTGCCCCCTCCGGGCCATGTCTACTCCTCTTCCAGCCAAAATTTGATCTTGGTAATACCATCGATAGATCATAAATAAACAAACTTAAGAAAGAAAAGCCACCTGTTTTTATGCTGTCTATATGTTTACGACGGTGGGCCAGCGTTCCACAATTGCATAACAGCATCTCCAATTGATGATGCAGATGTATGAATTACAGCTTTTTACATTACTTAGACTAAAAAACGCCCCTCCAACAAATGATGTAGATGTATAAAATATTTCTCCAAATTTACATCTGATATAAGATACATCACCAAGTAATGAAAATACACATCACTTGCCGCACGTGATGTAAAACGGCCGGCAGCCGTGCGAACGCCAAACTGTCGTTCGGAAATTTCCCGCTGCCCGCCTGCCCGCCGGCCCGCGTACCGCCTCCGGCGATTTCGCCCCAGAAACGGCACCGCCCCTATCCGTCCTTCCACCCCTGCCTCGGCTGTCCGTTGATGTTGTGCACTGATGAAATTGTTGCATTGTTTTATGTATATTAATTTGGGACGATTTTTATTTAAAATTGTGCGGCTCTAGCATTGTTGCTGTGTGGCCGTTTTTACATCACATGTTGTAACAGCGCCCGTGCGGCTGATGTATGTTACATTATCTGTTGGAGTTGTTGTTTTTTGGTGATGTAAAACTCATTTTTTTGGTGATGTAAACTTTACATCTAGCACTTTTTGGTGATGTATTCTACATCAACTATTAGAGATGCTCTTACGATGAGTGCACACGAGTTCGCAGTTGTGTTTTGTAAGCAATGATATTAAGCTATCAACCTTCAACGTTTGTCTAGTTTCTCTAGGTTTGGTATTCCTTTTTCCAAACGTCATGTTGGAACGTTGGATTCAAAAGATGAGAAAAGATGAAGCATGTTGGAACGGATTCAAAAGATTAGAAACGAGGAAGCAAGAGATGCCGACTTCAAATAACCTTGAGGTAACTTTTAGTTTATCAGGAAAAAGAATCATCCTTTTTTTCTCGGTTTGTTCGGTCCTGATGTGTGTACTTTGTTTTCTTGCCCTTTAAGATCATACTCTTCATGATCTTTCAAAAATATCTATATTTATATCTATATCTAATAATAAAAGAAGGAAGCTTTCATAGTTCTCCATACGTCGTCCGTTTATATCCGTTGATTTTGTGTTAACCATAAAGATTGACGGATGAGATTTAAAAGTAGATCTACATAATGTTACGTAAAACATAAAGCATGTACATAACTTTTCATTGACACGTATATGAAGAGTCTCTTCTTTTTTCAGAGTACGGGGAGTCCAACCTGCACACAAACACATTAGTTTTTTATCTAGAAAATAACTTGTATTTATTCAGTACAAGTTTTTTTAGGGAATGCCATCATGGCTACTTTATTGAATTGGTAATATAGTTACATCATTTGCAATGGCATTAACCAGAAAATCTAGGGGTTCATCGACCCATTTACAAGAAGAATTACTATCATAAGCATATTTTGGTAAAGAGTGGGCTACCTCATTAGTTTCACGAACACAGTGCATAGATTCTACAGATCCTATCATGCCAGCAAGGATAAAACAATCTGCGTAGATAGCCGATGTTTCGCTCCATATCCTGTCATGTCCTACACATGCATTGATGACCTCTGTCGAGTCGGATTCAATCTGAATTGAATGATAGCCCATGTCATTTGCATGTAGTAGTCCATGGTACATCGCCAATACTTCAGCCGGGCATGCATCACTAATGTATGGTATAGGGGAACATGACGCAGCCAGAAACACTCCATGGTCATCTCGTATAATTACTGCAGTCGCTCCTCTATTATCCTCATTATGGAAAGATGCAACCACGTTCACTTTAACTAAACCACCAGTTGGTCTCTTCCATGTTAATCCAACTCGTTTTATTGCTCCTGAACTAAAGGTTTTTGCTCTCTGAAAATTTAGGCAGATCGCTTGTATAGCTAAAGAGTTTCTGTTACTAGGGGGACGTTGATTCTGGTGAGTTTGCTGCCTTCTCAGCCACCACATGTACCAGGAAGATACAGCAATGCCCTCCTTAAGACCAACAGAAGGTAAATTAGGCATATTATTGTCAGGCAAACATAGCAAGGGTTCTAACACTGTTGAACCCGATCTATCAACGAACGTTGCATCTGAGATAAGTTCCGATAGTCCGAGTAAGCGCCACATCTCTACAGCACGGCCACACTGAAATAGCAAGTGATTGACATCCTCGGCTCCTTGCATACAGATTGGGCATTGGCCAATACTCCCACCATGTCTATTAGCAAGTATAGACTTGAGTGGTAGGAGACCATGAAGCGCTCGCCAGCAGAAAATTTTGACCTTGCCCGGAGTTTGTATTTTCCATAAAATCAATATATACAGGTTGGTTGGAAAAAGAAACTACGAAACGTCAATCTTCTTTTCCTATTTCTATATATTAAGAAAGGAAGGGAACCTGATACGTCCTTTGTTTCCTCAAGCGCCGATCAAAAAAAAATTCCAACCAAACGGATCGCAGGGAACGATCGATCTCTTCGTGGCTCGATCGTTCTCTTCATGGCTGGATCGATCTCTTTTCCCCCGGTGAACGGATCTCTCCATGCCCTCGCCGCACCCCACTCCTATGCGCGCCACCGCGCCGGCAGGCTATCCATCAGGCGCCCCACCGATTCAGTATCTGCGCGATGGCCGCCGACCCCATACATGTCGTCATACACCACCATTTGCCCCTGCGCGCCGCCATCGCCACCCACACGCGCGTAACCACCGCCCGCGATGCGCCACGCCCCGGCCATCTGCTCACAGATACCCAGCCAAGGAGGTTAGAAGCGACATGAGGCAGGGGTTCCACAAGAGCTGGCACGATGGAGGCCATGAGCTATGGAGAGGGAGCCAGTGGCGCCGTCTCTGTTGTTCTGGTGTTTCCTCCGACAGCCGTCCTCGCGCGCATGCATGATCGCTGAAGCATCGCTCAGCTGCCGTCTCTCCCACGCGGCACCTACTGCTATTATCTCTCTCCCTCCCATGAGCGTCTACTAGGGGTGAGCTGCCGCTGCTGCTTTATCACCCTCCCTGGCTGCAGCAGCATCTCTCTCTCTCTCTCTCCTCCTGACCATCGATGCTGCGGTGCCTGCTGCTCTTTCTCTCATGCCACAGAAGCTTCTCTCTGGCAACGATGGCTGTTGCTCCTCCTCTTGTCTGTCTCATAGCCAAAACACCAGGTTTTGGAAAAATATTAGTGTGCATCAATTTGAAATCTGAATTTTGTTATTGTTATGACAAATGGTGGTGTGATGTGAGTTTAATGCGCAGAAATCTTCACTAAAATATGCACGTACTGTATTTTAATGTTGTAATTTCATGCTCTCTATCTGTTTGTTAATATGTCTACAAAAACAACATATTTTTTATGTTTTGTCCTTCTAAATCAATCTAATATTTTTGGACAGCTGCATACAATCTTCATCGTTAAGTAGAAAAGAGATATAAAACTTTTTAGAGTTGCAAAACATGAATCTTATAACTGTGTATCTCCTTTTTTCTAGAAAATGATTCTTCCTCCACTTTTTTGTCCATCTACTGCTGCTAAACTACGCAACCTGCAATTCATGGTTTGGAGTCCATGTGCTACGCAGACAGGGACGTCGCTGCATGCAGAGCTGCCATCTACAACATGCACAAGGTTGAGAGCTATCCGGGTTATGATCAGATAAGGATTAAATACTGGGTGACTTACTCGGTGCCTGTTCTACTTGAGATGATCCACCACATCTAATTAGCAGATTAGGACATTGGATAGTGAATTTTTAGGTGGTATATCTGAGATACATTGGTATCAAAATAAATTTTTACCATACTCTGTACTATGCTATTCCATCGCTCCGAGACGGCACTCCCGAATGTCTCCATTCCACCTTCATGGCGACCAAATTCCTTTCCTCCTGTTTTGCAGGCATATGCAGGATCGCCCTGAAAAACTGGTTGCTCTGAATCGCCCCTAAAAACCATTCGACATGACATCCACACCTGTGCACTCGAGGGCTACGCCCGAAGATGACAAGGGGACTATATTGATGAAGTGTGTATGGCGGCGCCAAGGCGGCGTGACAGCTTGCGCAGCGGAGTCACACGAGGAACCAACTGAAGAGGTCGAGGGAGAGCTTATGTAGCGAACACGTCAGCTGGGTTGGCTGGCGCACCGCTCTAGCATGGTCGAGCTGGTGGCTTTATCCGTGAGGCACTCGCCGGCATGAAACAAAAAGGCGGCACTTGGGGAGTTTGTTGTGAATAATAAGGAAATGCACCGCCTCATATGTTAATACATGATTTTTGTTGGACCACATGAAGATGCATGTCACACCAACACAGAATTACAAGTCGGTGCAGCGATGGTCTCGAAGTATTTTTTTTCGATTTTCAACCTTTTGAATTTTTTCCGTGGTAGGCACAACGTGGCATGCTAGAGTGTGATGACCAAGCTCACCGTCTTTAGACAGGCCATGTTTCGCCTTTAGACCGGTCATGTTTATCATACAGAGAGAAAAAGTGGCAACACAGATGGCTCACTAGAGATGTGCGACTGTTTGTTTCTCCCGTTGCAACACACGGGCATGTTTGCTAGTAAAGATAGAATTGACTAGTTTTCGGTTTTCTCATGTTTAGAAATAGAAGGAGTTCTATCCTGGTTTTGCTCATGTCTTGCAAACTGTTCCGCCACACTCAATTTTCTATTCTAGGAGTGATGAGCTCTGCCGGCGACATGGTTGTGTGCATCGCTCAATACAGAGGTTGGTGGTTATTCTCCTTTTTGACAAAAGCTCAGCCGGTGGCAAATATACAATGTCACATCATATGGCACAGCAAGTAATGCCGCCAATGCCAACACAGTATGCTCACGTAGGCTGCAGCCACTCTAGAGGCACCGCGGCGAGGCGGGTGACGCGGTAGGAACTGTGCAATGCGGCCCATCTCTCCGTGTTCATCAAGTCGGAGGAGGCGTCGGGCTGGATCGGCAACCACCTAGACCCGGCCGCGGCCTGGGCTATCGACATGTCCGTCAGCATCGTGGAGACAATCGTGCGGTGCCGTTGCATCGACAGCGACACCTCCGTCAATGCCGGCAAGGGCAAGGCCACCGCTAGGGCACCATGAGCGTGGTCGTCATTGGTCGTGGCAGCCCTCCGCACCGTGTAGGATGAAGCTAACCGGCTCCGCCACGAGCGCCAAGCGGCAGACGAACAAGGCTGTCGCGGCGGTCCTGGGCCCTTCCTTCGCTGGATGGACGATGATGGCGCATAAAGCGATAGTGGTGTGGCCAGGCAAGACGGCTAAGCGTACAAGATGTGGCTAAGCGTACAAGATGTTCGCATTCGAAAAGTTAGCCTCCTAGTATTTTTTTTTCTTGTTCTTAGTTAAACGATTGAAACATCGGCCGTTTTATGTAAACTATGTCCGAACATTAATGAAATTCATCGCGTGTGATATCATTTGTGTAGTATTCAATTCGGTTTAAAATGTATGCACGCAGTTTTGGATGGCCGGCTTCTGCACCAGTGTCCGCAGACTGGTGTCCGGTTTGAGATGGAGATGCCCTAACCTCTTGTTTGATTTATTTAATTTTAGAATCCGTCGTAACCTCTAGTTTTTTTTTAGAATATCGTAACCTTTAATTAGTTGCTGGGTACGGGAGGTCCTATGTGACGCATTTTGCGTCAAACTGCTGCGGTATCGCACAGGCGCACCTCCTTGACGGGCTTTGTGGGCCACGCGCCGGCGTTCTCTTTCAACGCGCCGTGAGAAAAAACCATAAAAACAGTGCCGTGGTGGAAATCGAACAAGAGATCTGCAGCACGCAAGGTCAAGTAGCTAACCAGTGCACTACGGCTCCTTTCGTGGATATATAACAGCGCGACTGTTAAAGGAACAAACAACAGAGGCAAACTTTGTGTCTAAATCTGGCAGCTCAGTTTATATAAACTGTAGGGAGCGAAAGATTTAATTTTTTTTTTTGAAATTTCGAACAGAATTTTTATTTTTCACAAAATTCAATGTTTTTTGAAAGTCTAATACAATTTGTATGACTTGAACATCTTTCGAAATCTCAAACCATTTTTCAAAAAAGGAACAAAATTGAAAATGAGTACATTTTTTGAAAGTACTAATAACTTTTTGAAAATGTGAACATTTTCGAAAAAACAGGAACAAAAAATGGGAAACACAAACATTTTATGAAATTCCCCAAAAAAAATCTAATTAGTGAAAAAAATATGAAAACATGAACTTTTTAAGTTTCAGAACAAATTTTGAAAAACATTTTTTGAAAAACACATACATTTTATGAAAATTGCCCAAAACATTTGAATGTGCGCACAAAATTTAAAAACATAACCATTTTGGTTTTGGTTTTCTGAAAATTGCCTAAAATGTTTTTGGTTTTGTGAATAAAACATTAAAAGGTGAACAGTTTCTGAAACGATGCGAACAATTTTTGAAAGCACGAACAATTTTTGAATGTTAAGAACAAATTTTGAAATGGAGAACAAATTTGGAAGCTCGAACAATTTTTGAAAGCACGAAAATTTTTTGAATGTTGAGTACAAATTTTGAAATGGAGAACAAATTTGGAAGCTCGAACAATTTTTGAAAGCACGAACAATTTTTGAATGTTGAGAACAAATTTTGAAATGGAGAACAAATTTGGAAGCTCGAACAATTTTTGAATTTTGAGAACAAATTTTGAAATGGAGAACAAATTTGGAAAGCTCGAACAATTTTTGAAAGCACGAACAATTTTTGAATCTTGAGAACAAATTTTGAAATGGAGAACAAATTGAAAAGCGCGAACAATTTTTGAAAGCACGAACAATTTTTGAATGTTGAGAACAAATTTTGAAATGGAGAACAAATTTGGAAGCGCGGACAATTTTTTAAAGCACGGACAATTTTTTAATGTTCAGAACAAATCTTGAAATGGAGAACAAATTTAGAAGCGCTTCCAAATTTGTTCGCGTCCATAGCCACTGTATGAAACAAATTTTAGAAAACAAGAACATTTTTTGAAAAAATAGGAACATTTCTTTGCGTTTTCGGAAAATCCTAAACATTTTGTAGAACTGCGAACTTGTGTTGAAAAAGAAAAAAGAAACAAAAAAGAAAAAAAGAAAAGAAAAGGAAAAGAAACAGAAAAAAAGAAAAAGAAACAGAAAAGTGAAAAAAACCGGAAAACCGATAAAAGAAACGAAAACCCGGTTCAGGGAACCTTCTAGAAGGTTCACAAAACCGGATTGGGCAGTTCCTAACGTATCTACCTAAGTGGGCCGGCCCAAGCAGCGTCGCTCGGTCGTTCGCCTGTGCGAAGCGGCGGCATTTTGCCGCAATGAGCGGTCAATAGGAAATTCCGCTGGGTACACGCACGCACGTGATAGAGAGAAATGGGGAGGGAGATGGGCCAGATGCTAGGCCGACGAGCCCATGCACAAACACGCATCACAGCTCCCTTCCATAATACTTCGTACCGAGTCGCATACGCTGGCGGCTAGGGTAGCCAAAAATATCTCAAAAGATCAGATCGATAGATGCCCTTGCCGGCGAAGCGCCCTCCGGCGACCGATGCGGCCGCCTCCATCCCGGGCGCCGACGACGTGTTTCCGCTGGCGTCCATGCCCGCTGACTTGGTCGAGCTCGTTGGCTGGCTAGTGCTTGCGGACGACGATCTGCGAGGCTATGTCCGCTTCCGCTCCGTGTGTACGCACGTGCGGTCCAGCACGCCATGCCCGCGCGCAAATGGCATCGCCGTCGCGCGCTTCCACCCACGCCGGTGGACGATGCTGCCCGAGGGCCACGAATTCCACCTTGAAGATGGCCGGATGCGTTTCCTCAACCTTGACACCGGAGCATTCGTCCGCCGCCGGCTCCCTCTTCTCGACGACCACCGCGTCCTCTGCCCGGTCGACGGCCTCCTCCTCCTGCAGCGGAGCCGGCAACACGATAATGAAAACGGCGATGATGTTTGCCTACTTCACCCCTTCACTGGGACCGTTGCCAAGTTCCCGCCAATCACGTATGTCACGATGAGCTTGGGATCAATCCATTGGAGTTCCCGCATGAACCGTCCTTACTTGTCGCCAGGCAGGGTGACCGCTTCCTTGAGCATTGGTGCTGGCAGAGTTCCCATGCTCATGATCGTGCTTCTAGATCTGCGGCGCATACTATTTGCTACCACCAAGGACAAGCAATGGAGTTTCTCGGCCTGGAGCTTCTCCCCAGATAACAGCATCATATCATCCCAAGGAAAATTTTACATGCTCCACAAGCCCACGCCAAGCACAGATGAACTATGGATTTTTCAGATCGACCCGCCTCGCCACGAGAAGACGTCGGGATTAACTTCATCTTCGTTTTCGTTTCAGCCACCAAAGGTGATCACCATATTATGTCCCAAGGCCAAGATCCGCAGCCCTTTTGAACTGGTAGAATGTGACTCAAAGATCTTGCTCGTCGGTTCCAGCAGCGATCACTCCAAGCGCATGCTGGTGTACAGCATAGCGGATCTCATCCATGGAAGACTTGTCCCATTAAAAAGCATCGGGGGCAATACTCTCTTGATTGATATTGCAAGCAGTGAAAGTGTCATCAGAAGGAGCTTGAGTGTCGGTTTTATGGCCGTTCCTACCATTACAGGTGACACCATTGTACGCAGGGATCTTACACGTTATAGATATCTTGAACAGTATCACCTCGGTAATGTCACTTGGTCATCAAGAGCGGTGGTGTGCACGAAACATAATGCGTACTGGCGTTGCACCTGTGGCCTCATTAACCATATCTACGGCGTCTGCCATTGTTTTTTTTATTAATCAGTGAGCTATTGTAGTTGTTTTTGTCCTAATTTACTTGAGTACTCAAAAACTGTAGAATCATTTTTTATTAGCACCTATATATTGTATGTATGCGTCCATGCAGGAACCACGGATGAACAATCCTTCCGTAGCTAGTGCCGAACAGAGGAGATTGTACTGTGACGAGGTATGGGTGGTGCTGCTTGTTTATTATGTGTAGATTTGCATTCTTCTCATGCATGGAAAGATGATTCACTTTATTCCACAATTATATGTAGAGCCCCTTTTTTATGCCAAAAATACACGTAGCCTTGATGTGCATGTAAGGTGTAGGTAAAAAAGCACTGGTCTTTATTATTGCAATCATACACATATGAGATGAATGAATCAATTATCCCCAGCCCTAGCAATTGTTACGCAAAAGGGTGAGGATGTGAGAGAACTCCGCTTCGTAAAGTTGAAACCGCTCGAACCGAAGTGAATTGGAAAACGGGACTCTCAGCCCGAACCAAACAAAGACTGTCTTAGGTAAAAAAACGATTGGAAACGGTGCTTTCCGATACGAGAAAACGAATACATCACGGGAGCTGAACCAAACGCGTCGTTTGTTTCCTTCGCATCTCCATTCATAGTACTTATTCGTAGTTCACGCTTCACGGTTCCTCGAATCCTTGCTCGGAACATAACACATTTTTAACATTTGCTTGGAAACACAACTTACTAGCAGTGATCTCTACCAAATAAGTATCATTTGCCACACGTCTATATTTCATAGCTTATAACTTGAATTTTAGATATCTGCATATAAGGCCAACTCCATCGTGCGACCCCATCCTGTCCGACCCCATCCACTTGGGGTAAAAAGGACAAACCAGATAGCCCAGCGCGTGGGAGCAAACGGACTTTTGTCTGTTTTCTGTCCGCTTTCGACCCATCCCCGGCCCAAATTTGCGCCGATTTTAGGGTGAAACGGACAGTGCGCGGACGGGCGGGACGCGCGCGCTTGTCCTCCCCTGGCCCGCCTATCGGTGTCATAAAGCAACCCACCCCCCCCCCGCACCCCATTTGGCGCCATTTCCCCCAAACCCTCCAACG